AACTGAGTTATCATTTGTTGTCAGCAGCTTCGATCCCAAATGGATTCCAAATATGATTAAGTAAATTATACCGGCCAGTCTGTAGCAGTTTAAAATCAAATGTAATTGCTATCAATTTTGTTTGAACTGATAACCATCAATCTTGGTACAGCTGAAATGAAATTAACTACCGTGATAACAGATGAGCCTTCATTCTCTGATATACATCAGAGATAAATTTCATTCCAAGCATGTTTGTAAATTGAACAGTTGATACCGTTCCATGAGTCCACTGTAAGCAGATCGATGATAACGCATCTGACAAAATGTTGGCATGGATACTGCCCTATAAGCGAGGCTGTGCTGTCTTTCAGCTTACAGTCCATATTATACGCCTACTTTGATTTGTTGCACTGAAGCTATCAACATATTCATTTGTGAAAGGTCTTTTTTAACACTCACTGTCGGGAAAGCTAATCTGTTGAATTCGTTTTTCAGCGATATAGATTTATTCGGGATGTAATACTGTTCTTGCACAATATTACTAGTTAACAACAAAAAAAGGTGTAAAATATATATGTATATATTACACGATGAATTGGTAAACAATGATAAATGAGTTATACGATAACCAAGAAATATGATCAACTAACAAATTTGTTGTTGTTGCCTTCGATAATAATTTGACTGTTAGTTAGTTGATAAGTCGTTGAGTTGAAGATATACTACGCGAAATGTATTTAGCGAATAGAAAGAATATCGTAGTTTGTTGTCCAGTGGTGGCAGATATGCGAAGATGTCGTTGTTTATAGTTCAGTCATGGAGGATGTATTGTCTACTTGGTTGTAAAAACTAAACTGTTTAAGATTTTTTCTTATATGTGCACATCTATGTATATACATATACACAAGAATTAGGGAATTTTGTAAGCTCCATCGGGGCTATCATGGAGGTATGGCTGCCCTTTGGTATTGTCTATTGTGTAGGTATAATGGATATCATTGTCCATGGTGTAGATACTGAAATGTCTTTATGTTATGCTGTCCATTGTTAGCGTGTATTCTCTTCATTGCTTTAGTTTTATTTGCAAGATTTCGTCATCCCGTCTGTCCCGTCTGTTGGATATTGTGAAATTTTTGCTTGAACATAGCTTTAATTTCGTTAATCCGACAACTTCTCTTTAGACATATGAAAAAAAGAAATCTAATTTGAGTATCGTTGATTCGGGTACTCATTCAGGTTTAGAAGCGGGTCATAGCCAAATAGTTTACATAGTTTACCCTGATGCGATTGAAGTTATTGTGCTGTTTCCTGAATAATAAATTGCTTAGCATTTCATCCAGTTTAAACGAATAAAACCACCTTATCTTTCTGTATTAGGTCATGGTTACAAAATGGGGTTTGTATTTAATTCTACGAATAATTTTTGCCTTGACCTCTGCCTTGTAGCTCAACTTTCTTGTCATTTGTGAAAAGTCTTAGCAAACTCTCAAAGAAATTTGCACTTCCTTTTTTTTGCATACATTTGTCAATTATGGGAAATGCTCAGAGAAGAACGAAAAGAAAGTAAAATGTGCCGACAGGGATAAACGAATGCATTGCTGGATTGATGGAATATGAGGAATTGAAGTATCTCATCACAGCTAGTGCTATTTTACTTCTGCTTATTATATTCATTATAATTTATTATATTTTCAAGAAAACGAAAACATTCTCTATTGTATTCCCCGTGTAAGTTTCATTTTTCGCTGTTTTTATTGATCTCAGGATGACATTTCAAGTCTTTTTAAACATTTTATTGACCAAAAATCTGAAGAGGGATGAAGAAAATCTAAAATAAATAGCCATCTGAAAATATAATCTAGATGCTGAGGAGTAGAGATCATATTTACTTGATCATTTCTAATCACTTCACAACTTCTTTTGCGAACGATAACAATTGTAATCGAAGTTTTAGATCAAAGCCGAATAACATTAAATCGACGTTGCCAGGCATCGATGATAATGCAGTGGGAGATGGAAAAAGTGCATATGTCGAGTTGAAAAAGAAAACTGTCGGAAATTTGAACGTAGTCATTTTGGAGAATGAAAGCGGGCTCATCTGATTCAGTTGAGATTTCCTGATTTGTATTTATATTTTTGAAGAATCGAATATAATTAAATTTTTCCAAATTATGTTAAGGCTAACCTTAATAATATAACATTAATTTTGGACTAACGGTAAGGACATCATTTTTCACTAATACCACATTCAGCTAAATATTTCGGTTTTTATAGTGATATAAGTTTTCATAATGATTAAATGTTTTTCCTGAGGCATTCGGGAAATGATAAGCGCTGTGAGATATTTCGAGGAATGCTTAGCGGTGGAAAAATGAATCGTCTCATGATCAACATTTTCTGATCGTTTGAGTGGCGGATTCCAAAAGAAAGAAATTGAATTTTAATCTTCCTTGTGAAATTCTTCCTTTTCTTTTATCAAAAAGTATCAATGTTTTGTTGTTATTATTATCAGTGTTTCTTTAATCAACATTTTCATTTAAATATTTTACTTCAAATGGTTTTGAAATATGACATGAAACTTTTGCAGAGTAGTAAATAACTTTTATGGATCAAACTGACTGTACCCATTGCTAAGCATTAACTGGTTTTTTCCTGGTGTGTATGGTAGTATCAACCCATCATTGTTGGATCATTACCACTTGGGTTACTCTTCCTCAGCGTCGTTGGAACTTCCCAGTATTACTCTGGTTGCAGATAGAAGGAAGAATACCAATGCAAGTGAACACGCAAACAACGCACCCACTGCTATTCCCACCAATACCGGTTTTTCTTAAAAAAATATTTTCAATTATAATGGGCTCTAGCTAGGTTCGTAAATTTTGAGAATTATCAAATATCTCGAGGGGCGACAATCAACCGGAAATTTTTTCTTTCAGATTTTCTTCGAGAGAATTGGAAAAGGAAAAATTATTTAGAACGCATCTAATAGGAAAAGTTTACCGAAGTTTCTTTTGCTTTTACCCTTTGGGCCAGGCAGACCGGGTGGACCACGCGGACCCTGTTGACCAGGCGGCCCTCTGTCGCCTTGTATTCCTGGGGGACCTGTCGGACCTGGTGGACCCCGTGGTCCTTTCTTTCCCTGTGGACCTTCTATGATATCGTTTGCAAGTTCACGCTTTTCAGATCGCCTAATTCTTCGGATTTCATATGAAGTACTCAGATCAGATGGCTTGATATCTTTCTGGCACAGAACATAATGCTAAAAGTTCTTCACATGAACTACATATATTTAGTTCATTGTTAATTAGGATTAATTTTAATGTCAGAATTCCAGCTCAGTGATAGTGGTTTTAAAAAGAGTAGTAATCAGTGGCAGACTAATCGAAGAAAGCCCTAACTAGTTACAAAACGATTCTCAGCCGCACGTTAATAACACTGGGGTTTTTGCAAGTTACAGAAACTTCTACTGAAATGTGAGAAAACTCTTAACCGCGCATATAGGAAATACTCGAAATATGAGAGGACCCATGTTATGAACATTTCCAACTTACCGGATATTCAATTTTTCCTGTATTTTTTTGATCAAAAAAAACTAGAAAACCTATTAAGAAACCCACAAAATCATGTGGTTTCATTGGTTATTGATGAAAGTTTCCTAAAGGCATCCTTAATTACTCTTAATTAATCGTAGACTTGAAATTGCAATAGATGAAGTAAACGAGTAAAAGCTTACTAATTCAATCAAATAATTGATTAAAATGAGTGAAATAGCTGCCAGCCGCATAAATTTCTTACTACTGAAAACAATTTATATACATTTATGTCTTATTTATTTTATGAACCATATATATAAAATGACAAACATTCCGCTCTATGTTTTAAATCAATATCTCTGCGCAAAATGTTGAAAACTTAAAATAACCACTTATAAGAAACACACCACCACAATTCCTCTTGCTATTTTTTCGTATAAACGAACCGGTGGCTGAAGGATACGAGACAAAAAAAAAATGGGAATTTGCATAATCGAAGCCGAATTTCATGCAAAAGAATTGGTGCTATGCAAATGATATTTTCAGAATCCATTCCATCTCGTAATTATGATGGTAGCAAAAGCGTTAATTGTTGATCAATTGCTTCATTTAAGCAGACAACGGTAAATCATTCACTTCTCTTTCTGCTTAGTTTGTTGCCTCATTTTTTTGCTTGCTTTTTTATTGCTTTATAAATCAGAAGACCTTTTGTCCGTCACATAAATGGCGTATGGAAAAGAATGGAAAACATTAAATCAACATTTTTAACTGATATGACATTGGATTTCCCTCTTACATCTTCGATATCAGAGGGTAATGTAGTGGGTGATTTGATTTCATCAGTAGTTTCCTCAACATTTCTTTGATATTTCCCGAGTGCCATATAAATCTCAGATTTGTGAGCTGATTACATCAGTTCTTCGACTTCTTATGACTCTTCTCATCTCGATCAAGCGGTAATTTCGTTAACGACCTGCTACTTTCTAAAAAAATATCACAATTCCTCATGTGATCACAGCTATTCCCGACCGGCTAATGTATCTTCATAAAAATATCTTTGATTAAAGATTGTCGTGAATCCTTTTCTTGTAGCATGGCCAGTAGATATCATCTTATCCAGCATCATTAGTGATTTTAATTGATTTCATCGTGTCATTTTCTAAATTTTTTTGTAATTCATTAAATTTTCGCACAAATTTAATATGAATTTAATGCTACTCACGTCATTCGTGAAATTTGCTGGTAAGGAAGATGAATTTCGAAACTCAACTTGGATTGGTCGAAGTGAGAAAAATGGGAAACAGAAGGTGAAGTGGAAGAAATCCTTTAATTTCAAAGATGTAAGCGCTCTTTTAATGAGCAACCGTTATCACACTCAAGTAAAAATATGTCTTTAATATTTGTTACTAATATAAATTTTCCTTTCCTAGAATATTCATTTATATTAGTATTTGCCCATTTGTATATAATGCCAATCCACTGGGGAAGGAAATTTTATTTCTAATTCCTGAAGAATGTGGTGGTGGAAATAAAAAATCAAGAGACTGGTATTTGTGAACTGAGAAATGAGTGAATCAATAAAAGATATGGAACGAATTGCTGGTTTCATGAAACGATCTACTAGCGAAGAGGTCGCGTCTTATTAATGTAAATAAAAACATTTTTCAAAAAATAAAGGTGGTGAGAATTTATTAGCAATTGCAAAGTTTAGCAATGTGTTACTTGAAATAATATCATCAAAATATTATCAGTAATCTCGCCGATAATATTGATAGTGTTCTGTCTCAGCAATTATTCATAGTTTATCCATGTTCTTTTCTAATCCGATCGGCAACAGCAGCAACGAGTGCCGCTCCACGGCCGCTTCCATCTTCTGACAGCATCAGTTGGTACTGAAAAAGCTTCCTCGGTGAAATTTTTAACGAAATTCAAACTTCTCATGGTCGAATAACGAAAGGTGTTCACTACTACATAGAGGCTATCTCTTCAACTTGACTACTTTGAATAATAATGAATAATAGGAGAGCGCTATACCTCAACAAGAGACGAAAGACAATTTGCCTGTATTCAGCTGGAAATTTTTTGAAATTTAAAAGAGAAAAAAGTTCAAATTATAAGAAACTAAAAATTAGCAGCAAATTCGATCATACATCAAGATTTTTTGGCAACAAATCATTGATTTTCGCATCGAGAATTTTGTCGAATTTCGGGTGAAACCGATACACCGATCCATCCACTCCTACTGTTACAAACTTCTTTTGCATACGAGTCAGAATGCACGATATGCCAGCTGCAGTGAGATAAGCAGCCCTAAAAACAGCTTACTTTGTTAAAACTAATTAATGTGCTGGTAAGGAAAAACTTCGTTTAACTCACAAAGGTTTAACCTAAATATTAAAATTTGGTTTAACTGATTAGCATTTATCAAATTATTTATAGTCCCTAATTTTTATTTCTTACTAATTTATTTGTTAAAGATTTACAATACATTTTAAGCCAAAATTTTCGGGCAAAGAATAAAATCCAAGAGAATGTATGAAGTAATAATTCGGTTAGTTTGAAAAATGTCACAATAAACAATGTCACTTAGAGTTGCATATTTTTTTTGTAAGATGATACCAAAATAAGGATATGAAGATGCGACACGAAGAAACGAATACGAAGAAACGATAAGACGATACGAAATGAACGACAGAAAGATGAATGGATAAAACTATTTAAATTATGAATTAATGACCAAAAAACAAAATGGAAAAATAGGTTAATAGAATAAGAAAAAAAGTACCGAGTGCTGATTACTTCGCAAACGTAAGCAACATGAAGGCAGTCGCTATCACTTATCTTATTTATTCCGATCTGTTGTAGAATTTGAAGCGTTCTTCGTAAATCTCCAAGACCTTTTTGCCTGAATAGGTCATCTATACAGAACATTTTTAAAAATAACATTAGAAATAACAAAAAAAGAACTAGGTCTTTTTTAATATTTATTCATATCTTACAAGTCAGCTAAATACAGAAATATGAACAACCAAATAAGAGATAAACAGATGTTTCAATTTTACCGTACCTTCCTTCCAAAGTCTGATTTAAATGACATGAAAACTATGCACAAATGGTATGAAAAATATGGGAAAAAAAACGAACTCCTCAATATCAGAGATAAATTTGGTTGGAAAACAGTTTGGCTTTGAAATGGCTTCATAATCACCATCGAAGAGCATTTTTTCCTTTGCAAGTTTCACAAGAACAAATCGCGCAATCTCCCCCAAGTACATCCCAGAAATCATCTTTTCAAAGCTTTAAATTTCAAAACTTAAGTGTTCTATAACTTTTAAATGACAGTCGCATTTCAATAAAACTGAAAATAAATTTCTAATCACATTTGAATTTATAAGATAAAATATCCATAAAAGGGAGAACTTACAGATGTTTACCCGGATTGATGGATCCACGATCAACATCCCTATCAAATTCTGTGATGAGATGATCTATACAGCCATTATCGCCGAAGGCTCCCCATTCCATATTTATGATCATCCAAAATATATTTTGATATGCGAATCACAAGATAGCACGCATAAAGAAGTTAAGCTTTAAAATTGTTTCCATTTGAATTTGGTTTAGCAAGAAATTAATCAAATTATTTGAGACTAACTTCTTTTGGATATCGGTCGTCATCAAATCCATATTTTTTGAGTTTTGGACAGTTGGAAAGCTTTTCCATGTAGCAGGCATTTGTACCAGTTCCAAGAATAACGCCAATTTGACAAGTACTGTCCTTGAAGGCACATGCCATCAATGTGCCAACTGTATCATTAAGCAGCGCTACTACATCGATACTGATGTCCTAAATTTTCAAAGATTCAATAACAGTATGCTAAGTTTTTAGGACTAACTACCCTAGTGAAATGATAAAACTCGCAGTATTTTAAACGAAACCATCAATCTGAGTTATACATTAATTGTCAGTGGAAATAGAAAGTTTCGTAAAAAAGAAAAAAAAAGAAGATTTAACAGCAAAAATTTTTACTCAATAGATTTAGTGAATAACTAAACGGACATTGTTATACCTTGCGACGATTACACGCATCTCGAAGACACTGAACGACGTCTTGACCTTCCACTCCTTTTGCATTGAAACCTTTTGTCCAGCTAATAAGTCTGCCAGTGGTAAGATTTTCCTGTTGTACCGGGAATGAGAATGTAAAACCAAGAGGCAACTCTTTGCACTCTTTCAAGTCATGTTCTTCGAGGAAATCTGCTAAGCATTGGCTAATGTGATCGAATAGCTGCAAATCGTAGACAACTAATACAATATTGATATGGTAAACATAGTACAGCTGTGTTTATCTAGGTCAGACTAAATTTTCTATGCAGACATGGGTAAAGTCTGGTTTTGCTGACTCATTTGAAGTTCTTAAAAGTAAACATCCCTACGCTTATTAACCATTGTCACTTTAACACAACGCCGAAATGTCCACCTCAACTTCCACTCCCATTAATTAAACTAATAGTGCAGTTGACGTGATATTCCTTAATAGTTCCAAGTTCTAAAGAATTTCAGACACTTCTCGCTAGCATCTCGTAACCACTGCTTAACTTCGTCGGAATAATTCGAAGATGAAACAATGATGGAATAAAATTAGCTAAGCCTGATCAATTTCCTTATGGTACCGCAAATTCAAAGTGTTGCCTTACGGTCATGAAATCGATGGTCCTCAATCCACAAGAAAGGATATGATTAAAGCCTCTGGAAATGGCTCTTACATTTGAGCTTACTGTGAACAAAAAAAAATAAATAGAAACTCTCTGTTTCTAATACAAATTAAGTAATTATGATTTTGAATACTTTAAAAATATGGCTATATCCAGCGAATTCTGCAGATCTCTAGTTCATTTTGATAAAGATGCAATCTGTTACTAAAAAAAAAAAAAAAATAGAAAAAACAATAGAAAAAAAATGATAGCGAAGAGAAAGATTATGTTCTTGATGCAAAGGAGTGGCAATTCAAAAGAATTTATCCATCTTTTCTGTAAAAACTGATAATGGAATGGTAATATTTTGGATAATGAAATGATAGAAAGTAAGAAATTGGAAAAAAAAGCTCCCAATGTGCGCAGCAATACGAAGAACATGAAACTGAAAATAACAAATAGTTTTTATGGGAACTGATATGAAGTTGTATTATCTGTTCTTGGTTAAAAATATTGGCTAAGTTGCGAAAACAAAAGAAGTCACTTTTCTGACAAACTGAAATTCGACAATTTATGTCCTTTAATGTCCTTTTAAACCAGCAAATTTGAAGTTATTTTGTTTATTAGCTTGTCAATTACCTAATCATTCGCTTTATTGATCAGTTGTTTAGTCATTTGGAGAGTTGGCTAATTAACTCAAATAACTTTGTGTATGCTAGAAAAAACTAGTATAAATCGTAACTGCACTAAACAAACAAGCTCTGTAATTTTGTTGTTTCTATTTGATTTGATTATACTGCTCTTAAACTTTGATTACTGCAAACTGCAATTATTTCGGCATGCTTAAAAAGAAATGTAAGATGTACCACAGTGCCGACACCTCGCATGATTTCTTCAGGTATACGATATACTTTCCCAGTCATCTCGGCCACATCGCCCTTCAGTTTAATCAGCAACACTCGAAAATTAGTACCGCCAAGATCAAGCGCCAGGAAATCGCCCCGTTCCGTACCGTTCGGAACTCCCCGAATGAACGATGGCAACATTTCCAGACAACCTGTAGCAGAAGAATTCCTACGATATATATCTTACTTTACCATTCAAAATAAGATGTTTGAGGACGTTACAAGAAAATTTTTCAGAATATATTTCTGTTCATAATTTACCGGCCAACCGAATAATTTGACATGCAAACAGGATTCATACTCTATTCCCATGCTTTCAATCATCAGTATTATGATCAATGCTCATTATTATTCATATCGGCTCCTTACTAGGCTCATTCCGCAAACCCCGATTCATTTCGTCTTCCATGATTTTTGAGACCTTCATAAGACTGTCATCAGACAACATGAATTTCTCACATATTTTCTTGATCTGGAACCCAAATGTCGATCAACGAATTTTCATTTATTATATTTCTGATAGGTTTGACAATTTTTATTGCTACAATATTTTATAGCAGAAAGAAGATGAAATTGATCATTTAGATTTCTCAAGATTAATTTTTTCAGACTAAATCTTTTTTAGAAATTTATTACCGAAGAACTTGTAAATTTACTACCAGAAGCAGATGATTACCTCTGGACGAACTTTATCTGCATCCGGGTTTTTTAAACTAGGAATACTGGACTGGCCTCTTGGCATTGGACCTCTGGAAGGTTATTATCAGGTGAATTTATGAAATGATGAAAACTGCCACAATCCCTAATTTCTTAGTGCTTTTGAATTCAAGCAAACTCCTACAATCCTTCCATACTCTAATCCAGTTCCAGTACTATGTAATGAAATAATGGCAGCAAACGGCAACAACCAGTATGAAACTCAGCCAACAACTGCACACCAATATAAATGAATTACTGTCTTATGAAAAATTCATCAATTTATAACATTTTTTTCCCGGTTCAATTTCAATATAATAGTTCTTCAAGTATTGCATTGAAAGGATGAGAAAATTAGTTGTAAGGTGGTATTGCAAAGTCGTACTGGTACCGCCATATGGTACTGGTATGTTTTATCGAAGTTTAAGGAAGTAATCGTAAGTTGGGACTGCAGAGACTAAACACGGCGAATGGAAAACGTGAGACCATAATTCATTAACGAATAGTAAAAATAAAGAGTATTTGTTACGACAAAATATGTCGACAGTTAAAATGGTGCATTCCATTTTTTTTTTTCTTTGATCTCTGTGGAAGTTTAATTTATTTAACGAACCGACTGTAATTCATCCCACATTCGGAATGGAAAGGAATCATAAATTGTGGAACCATCAGCAATATTTTTATACAGTTGGCACCTTCTACAAGTTATTTAGATGCAGCAAGCTGTTAGTATTTCGCATAAAATTGAAAGGATTCACTATTCTCCTATATATATTGAATCGAATACCAAAAAGTTACTTGATTAAAATGGGGATAGAATTATCTAATTGGGAAATAGAATTATCTAATTATAAGAAATAACTAGACCTGTCGCATCAAACACCTTAACCTATTTGGGTGCCACATACTTTTTGACGATAAAAAAGTGGTATTTGAGCTCTGGAATCAAACAGAAAAGTTCCATAAATGTTTATAAATGGAAGTCAACTTTATCAGTTTTCGTAATGCAACCATAACATTTAGCAGCATATGATTAACTAATGTGATATACATCGAAATGCAATCAGTTGAACTCAAGCGACTGCAGCTGTTGTAAGTGTAAATGAATAGATTGAAGTTTTATCGCTCTTCATACCAAACAATAACCAGAAGCAATTGGATCGGTAATAATCAAAATACCAGAAAGCATTATATGCCTTCTCTCGAGAGAATAACAGATGGCATCACACAAAACTTAGTGAAAAATCATTGCTCAAGAAGGACCTAGAAGGGATTTTTGATTTGATGAATCCACCAGGTATGATCATTTCATTTGTTTCTGCTTTAAAATGAACAAAGAATGAACAAAGAACCCCTTTTTTTAAAAGTTTGCGGTGCCATAAAACAGAAGCCGATCAATGATCAGCAGTAGAAATGATCAGAAAGATTAAAGCAGTGGCTTTTTAGCAGCTTTCTCTTTTTCCTTTTCTTTATTGCCTTCTTTGTTATCTTTCGCGTCTTTACTTTCTTTTTTTTCTTTATTTTCATCTTTCTTCTCTACTCCTTCAACTTTCTCTTTATCTTTTTCATTCTTTTGTAGTGAAAGCTGAAAAAATTCATTAAATGAATTCAGTGTTTTAGATTGTTGAAATATATTTTTTTAAAGCCCTCCCTTATTGATGAAAATTTCAGGAATTACCTTGTTATCGATGAGATTATGCAGAGCAATAACAGTTCGTACCAGAGATCCTATATAAACGCACATCAACTGGTCATTTGTCTGCACATTGTGTGCTTCAACAAATTGAGGCGATGTGACATCCGGTAAAAGATTCAATACTTCCTTAATTAGCAAAAGACTGCATGACTGAAGGAGGTTTCAAATGGAAAAAATCAACATAATGAGATAAAACACGAGGTATTCAAACCGTATGTTTTTTCCTTTTTCCTCTTATCTTTCCATCATAAAACCTTGCAGTTGAAAACAGTTTATATTTCTATTTGAGTTTTTCTAATTTTTTGGACTGTTGCCGGATCGACCAAAGGTAGGTGCAATCATCTTTCTCTACGGCTAATAATATTCCTGTAGTGTGTCCAGAATTTGAATTGTAATGGTCTTATTTGACAGAACATGAAATCTTCGAAAAATGGAGTTGCAATGAAGACTAAAAGTTCCGACAATAAAAAATCCAATGGTATAGTGAATGCAGGGAAATGAAAAAACACCTGTATGTAATAGATAACAGCATGATTGATTGGCAGTTTACCTTCGGCTACCTCATGCAAATAACACTGCAAATCAAGTAACTGTCCATGTAAACCCCTCAAACCCATCAATTGATCAGTAATTCTTTGAGAAAGAGTTCCTGCTGTCTGATCTTTGATATCCCTAGAAAATAGAAAGTTTGAATGAAAGCTACTCCATTTTCATGTAAACTAATACAATTGAAGAGAAAAAAATTCACCTTAAAAGATGTTCAACTCCAACTTCTTCAGCCTCCTCAGCACCGATTTCACTTGGAACATGCTCGAAAGTTTTGATTGGTGGTGTACCATCCTAGAATTACGTCTAAATACAAAAGAAAAGGATCCAACCGAAAAAAAAATCTGCAGAGTGAGATAAAAATATATCAGTTTAGAGATCAAAACAACTATAAGTGACCGTAGTCAAATTACCAAAAATAATTAACATACATCATGAACTTCTTGCACCTCCACATAAGCTTCCGTTGGCAATCCTAAATCTTTTGGTTCAGCTTGTATAACAACAAGAACAGGGTTACACGTGAAACGTTTCAACTGCTCGTTGATTACGATGTCGTTCTAGAAATTCATGAAAATGTCAGCAACTAAAGAATATATTAATCAAAACACTCAACTTCTAGAAACATAAGCAGAACCGACTGGATTTCCTTACTTATCCCATTCAGAGTCCAGTGCTTGACCCTGCAAACGCAGATGGTACAACGAAAGGAACAGAACTAAGTCCAATTATTGCAAACCGAAAGTCAAAGTCTATTGCACTATTCCCGATCTACTTTGCCAAACACTAATTTCACTTCCTTTTTATATTATTTGTCAACAAGAATTAAATTAAGAGCGGTTGGAAGTAGGGGATGGTGAGGATCAATACCTTCAAAAATTTATAGATATATCACAGATATAAATGAATCAAAATTTCGCTAACCTGACAAAGTTTCGGACCAGTGTGGTACCATCCAACGACCCTTTCGCGTGCAGCAACCTAAACAGTGATTCACAAATTACAGGTAAAGATGGAGACCCTATTGAAACGCTCATATGTGCGAATATTTAACTGATGTATCCTATGGATTGCTCATCTACTGAAAATGCTTACTTTGTGGAACATGCCATACATGCTTTCTAGATAATCCATATCGAGAAACCAAGTTTTCTTGTCTCGCTCATCCTCATCAAAAGGAACTGAAAATGAAACAAATCCGGTAACCACAAAGATGGTCAGTAATATAACCTGAAATGTAAAAAGGAAAAAAGATGGAAAACGAAAGTGGAAAGAGGCTTACCAGCAAAGCTGTTAGCAATATCAAGCGTCCTGTCCGGTTTCATGCTGCCTAACAGAACACCAACCACACGTTTTACATTTTGAGTTTTACTCACGCGATTGAAATGATCAACTACAGAAAGTAAAACGAGCGGATGAACCACAACCTGAATAGTTTCAAATTCTCCATCAACTTATTCTTGTCACGATTCTTAATATGATTTTCATGCCAGTAATTCAATACTTTTAAATGATAAAGCATTTCTTATTTTCCGCAATGAGAAAAGTAAAAAATTTTCCTTTTTAATGAACGGCAAGACACTCACCGACTTGGTCAGTCTCATTTTGATTCTTAACATTTTCCGATCAGTCTACCTGGAAAAGCCAGATAACAGTGAACCAAAACTTCGAAAACAACAAACCTTGGAGACATGCAGATTAACATGGACGTTGCTGGCACAATGGGGTTTGACAGGATCAACTATCTTTGTCATATTATCCATTTTCACTTCACCTTCTTTGTATGGTGCCATTCTGGAAAAAATTAGTGGATTTTGAAGAACAAGGAAGGAAAGAAAAAACCGGAAAGAGGATATGCTTTTCTATAATTACATCCAGCACTCAATGCGTCAAAGCTTCGAAAGTTGGATGCGAAAAATAGAATATCCTAGGATCGATCAGCAAACATAAACCTTGAAGACATACAACAAACCATACATGTATGCAGACTAACATGGACATTGCTGTCAGATTAATTAGTAATTCGAAAACAACCGGATTAAAATTAAGAAGCATGTAAAAGTACCGAACTTAACTATTAGATGGAAAGACAAGGAAAAAATCAAGAGATAGTAAGTAGTAAGCTTTAAAACTACACAGTGACAGTCGTTACAATAATAGTAGAACTGCAAATCAGAGACGACGTCATGCGTGGGGAAGGTAAGGTCTCAGAATATGATATAGATTAACTGTGTTAAAAAAGAGTGACAATATATTGAGGAAACATTTAGATAAAAATATCACTATCACATTCTGAGATCACAAAGCACATCATGACCATAACAACAGGGAAATAGTACTTTCTGAGTTTTACATAAGAACAATCAGAAATGTAATTACATTTAGAAATTTACATCGAGAATGGGTGGTTTAAAACGATGGATTTAGGTTGAGAATAAATGACACAATGACTAGTTCAAAAGATCAGATGAGTTAGAAAGTCTGCTCTCATCTCTCCACAGAGTAAAAAGAAACACACCAAGTATTTGGTCGTAGAAATCCGAACCACACAGTACAATGAAGAGCGGTTCGGGCAGTGTGAGCGTTGAACGTGTGCAATCGTCGATGACGGTCCTAAGTGAGGAAGCGTCGAACAGAGAGGAACGCTTCGTGACCCTTAAGAAGATCGCGAAAGGTTCGCTTACCCTCTCAATATTTATGCATAACATATCATCACTTATTTGAAACCATCACATGTTGTTTGAAATGAGTTCTATTCGAATTCCCGATAGTTTTCATTGACTGATAACTTAAGTTGCAGTTCATGGACGTGCAATCATCGGTGTATCTTACATACAAGATCCTTATTCACAGGAAGATTACTTAATAACATGCGCCCATGATTCTCTCAAAGTATGGCACGTGTAAGTTCTTTTTTATTTTTTTTAATTACAGATGACAATGTTTTAAAGTTTTCAGATTTTCAGTCCTTATATTTTTTGAGAAATAATATACTTTGAGAATTTTCAAGTCATAGTTTTTAAAGTCAAAATGTTCTCGCGCTCATAATTTGCACTATAGCTAACGTTGAAAATATTGTCTGCATAAGTCTTTAAATAATGAATGTGAACTTTACATGTTGCTTCTGAGTTATTTCTTATCTTATTAGGGATTACAGGGATTTGAAAATAGTGAAAAGCTCATAGTTTAGGGATAAAAATGATCCAGGAACATTAACGGAGAAACAAGAAATCAAAGGATGGAGGAGCGGCGCGCAGGATTTCGATGCTACATCCGATGGGGCAAGTACGACTTTTTTCTTACATTTTGAAGATAGAATTGGGTTTTATTTCTTTTGCAAATCATTTTCGTGTTTAGTCAAATTTCCTTTCGAATTTTAGGGTCCTTTACTGCTCAGGACAATTGTTTTTATCAGTATTTGCTTTAGTGATAGCAGTTGTTGGTATCGATTCTTTGATGTATGTGTTTAATTTATCTTTGTCTGACTTCACATATAACGCTGATATTTTCAACATGGGATTCATGGAGCAGTGGTACGTTAGAATATCACCCTGCCGAACTCATTATCTTACAGGTTAAATATGTCGAAATTTCTGAAATTTCAGGATTTTGCCAATTGTTTTCCTTTTTTGTTGAATGTATGTAATAGTGAACATGCAATATCTTATTTATGATTAGCATAAAAGTAAAGGAGGCAGGAATGCTAATTAATGGCTTAAGATTAAAAGCCACTGGAATATTAGGAAGGATGTCTTCTAGATTTATTGAAGTCCTTCATTGTTTCTGAACGCGCATATCTTGTTCAGAGTATTTCTAAAATGTTCCATATTTTAGTAAGTTTTTCTGGATTTTTGTCGCGGTTGTCTTTGAAAGGTACTACTGATGATAATCTCAGTTTTCCCGGAGCACGACAGGTCTCTTCGTTATCATATGTGGGTGTTTTCATTTTTTTCTCTGAAAATATTAAATTGATGCAAAGAAACAGTAAATTCTTCAAGTTAATCGCAAGTCATAAAATTTTATTTAATGCAAGTTTAAACTTTATTAGTCAAAGTGATAATCATATTAGTTAATCATTTGCAAGGAAGAAATAAGTCTATTACCTTATGTAGCATATTTTTTGGGATTGGATAAACGTGTTTTGGGATTTGTTAAACTCTTGGAAAGCATTTTTTACGTCCTGCTGATTGTGAGAGCCCTTTTCATTCAAAAAATTGTCGAGATGCTCAAAGAAAACACTGGTCTTTTAATTATCGATCATCTCATGCGACATCCACGCACCAAACTTTTGATGCTTCTTAATTTGCCATATTTATTCAAAAATTTATCCAATACAGAGCAGCAAATATTTTAGCTTTCATGGCTTCGTATAAGCAGTAACCCGTCTTGTTCATGTTTTAAGTCTTGATTCATTTGAATGCTGGATTCCAACTAATATTTCCATTTAAATTTCAGAGTCCAGACAACAAAATGATTGCCGTAGCTAACAATGAAGGGATTGTCACAATTCTCAATGTACCAAAACTTGAAATTCGATTTTTCTTTGAAGGTTTGCTACTGGAATATGCATTTCTGCGATTTTTTCTGTGTAAAAAAAAATTCATCCATCATCGGAGATTATCGTTAACTAATATTTCCAGCACATGCAATCAGAGTGAGAGCAACATGTTTTTCCCCGTCATCGGATAACTTGTTGACTGGCTCGGATGACAAGATTGTCAAACTTTATGTAATGTAAGTTTTTGACGAAACTTACTTGCATTTTCAATAAATTTTTGGGAATTTCTTTTTTAGTTTTTCCTTTTTTTATTTCACTCTTTCTTGAAATTTCACTTGGCCTCATGTGGAGAACAAGAAAAAATTAACATATTTCACCTTTTACCGATTTCAATAAAAATCTCTTTTCAGCCGCACAGAGAAAGCACAATTGGTTAAAAGTTTTTGTGGTCATAAAAGTTGTATTACAGCAATAAGTTATAATCCTCGAGATCCACAAATGTATGGTTTTGTGTAACTTTTATTTTCATAGTTCATTTGTTGTATTTATGCCAATATTTGATTAGTTACAGGTTTGCAAGTTCATCGAACGATGGCTCTGTAATTCTATGGAGTACTACAGAAGACTGTGCACTTCACATTTTTCAAGGAGCTCATGAGGGAGTGGTTAGTTCCTGAACATTCATTTGCCCAGCACAATATGAATTCTATTATGAATCATAATTAAACGAATTTCAAAAGACCGCCTCCTCTTCTCCTCGAAATACTGATTCTGCTTCTAAAATTATCATCTAAAAGGTATTTGGAATAGCGTTACCGTAGTTCGGTCTTATCCAAACGTTTCGGCAAATTGCAACTTGGTTCCAGTTTTTGAGTTTTCAAATGATTTATTTGAGAAAAAAAAAAGTATTTCCAAAGCTTTTTTTCGTGATGCTCTGATCAAATTGCAACATTTTTTCAGTTAACGAAGGAAGGCGGTCCTTGCAGTTCATTATTTCGAATATTTCCGTGACCTGATTATTCCGTTCAGAAATTGTCTTCATTTGATATCTAAAATAATCATTTGAAAAAGTCAGAAAGTCAGCAATTATGACACAATTTCAGGTGAAAGGTCTTTCGTTTTCGGTAGACGGAGTGTGTATAGCAAGCGTTGGTGAAGATCGTGCAGTTTGTATACACCGTTTGGGTAATCGGAAATCTGTAGTAGAACTCGCTGAAAGCAACTGGTCAACCAATCAGGTGACAAGTTTTTATTGTCATAAGCTTCAGTTGAAATTAATAGTTATAACACATAGTCACTAAGAAAATTTCCGGTGGTTTGGTCACAAACTTTATCTGAAGGTTCAAATCCATTGTTCAATATAATAGTTATCTTAACGATGAAACATTTACTGTAGTTTAGGAGAGCTTATTAGGCCAATTTATATGTCTCGTTTCCTGCCCATTTTTCTTCGTTGTTGCTTCCACCAAATTTTTCTTTTACTTTGCCGGCTTGTTGCTATGCATAATTCTTGATAGAAATTTTGATTTTTTTAGAAACTTGATAGCCAACAAATAGATTACAGTGCAACGATTGCAAACAAGAATTCCATACTGATAAGTACGTTCTTTCCAGAAAAATTGGTGCTTTTTTTCATTTCTTTTTCTGCTAAATGTACTATTGTATGAACTAGAATTTTTTTAGCTTCCGAAAACAGGAAAAATGGTGAGGAAGAAGATGAGCTCCTAATGAGAGCGAAGAGAGATCTGGAAGGGATAAGTGATGAAGCATCGCCTGAGTGAGGAAACACCTGGATATATATAAAGTTGGAACTTATCGTTGTTGTTTGAAGTATTTCCTTTAGATCAATAATTAGCTTCTTGATTACAAGAGGATTGCACAGTTCTGCACTCTCTGCATTATCTTTCATTACCGCGTCAAGTATTTCAGTTAAAAAATTGATTCAAGTATTTTGCCATCGATTGCAGATTTTAAATTTTTTCAAGTGGAAGGTAGAATCCTAAGGGATATTTAGACTGATTAGAAGTTTCGAAAATCGTTGACTTGACTTAAAAATGTTATTATTCTACAACTTGGAAGAATTAGATTTGAAAATATTAAGGAAGAATTAAGGAGGGCCAATGTTGACATCTATTTGCCATATTTTTCCTTTATCAAGCTAGAATAAGAAATCATCAAATTGCTACAATCACAAAGTAGGAAAATCTCAAACATATTAAACGCCGCTAGGGAATGCTTAATGAATTGCTTCAGCCGGCACTTGCTGTTGCTGCATTTCAGTTTCTATTTGATGTTGATCTCGTTCATTTCGAGAGAGATACCTGGTGTTTCTTAAGAAATGCTTTTTAGCTCCACAGTTAAGACATGTTCTTATCATTTGTTTCTTCTTGTTGAGTCTGAAAGTTCAGAAAATATCTTGTTAAGGACAACAAAGCTTCTTTTACTGTTAAGAATTTATAAACATTTTTCTTTTTCGAAATTCTTCACAAGAAAAAATCATAGTCCGTTTTGTTCGTGGTTCATTCGATTTCCTAAATCTCGAAAGATGTATATACATTTTCTATATTTAAAAGTAAAATCCACATTTAGATCTCTCATTATAAAATACTCGTTGGATTATAAATTTTTGTTCGAAAAAGTGGAAAACTCAAATTGACGCTAACTTAAAGTTTAATGATTACCTTACGGTAATCGACTGGGTGCCATCAAAGCGAGCAACAAAAATATTCTTGCAGTGCTTACAGATTGTACGACCAAAATCTTTTTCCAATCGTATCATTTCAACCAAACACAATTCTTTCATTTCACGAAGGTAAAGTTTGCTTAGCGTTTCCAGCCCATTATTACCAGATGATTCTGAAGCAGGAGTGTTTTCGTACATTCAGAAATTCCTTAGAGCTCAAATTTGGAAACCAGCATACGGGAAACTCACGTGAACACAATAAACTTGCTGCCCTGTAAAGATAATTACATCGGTAGTGGAACTCATTTGGTTTAGGTAACCGTGTCTTTCCATCTGTCACGAAGCAATCGACTTTTTCCTTGATTTGTTCCTGAACGAATTCGAATTTATCCAAACCCATAAATTGAAATTTGCAACGACGCGTATAATTTCTGTATTTCCGTTTGATAACAGCTGAAGTATTTTCTATAAAATTTGATTATACGAATTCTAATAAATGTCTGATTTGTTATTGGCACAGGTACTGTCGAAACTGTGCTTTTTCATTGTAGGATTTAGAGTTTTGAAATAAGAACCGGTTCTGCAATTTGCGCTACCACAACGAATTTAATGGGATCGTCTTTTGAGTATTTATTTAGTAGTTCAGGAACAATAGTTAGAAGCATGTAATCAAGCGCAAAAATGCTGGGACGATAAGATTTTGGATGATTTATAAATTTATAAATAGTACTGGAAATTAAAAAACAAAAAGACGAGAGAACAAAGAAATGATGGAAGGTCGTTATGACTTTTCCATTCGTTTTTCAATCTTCTTTAACAAAACTTCTATTTGAGCGTTGAGGTTTGGTTGTCCTCGTCTGTTCCTTTTTGACAATGCCTTATTCATCCTTCGTTTAATTGAGGTATATTCTTCCAAAACTTTTTGCCCCTTTTCTCTTTCCAATCGACGTTTTTCTTTTTCAGCTTTCCGTTCCGTTGCAATTTTTTGATAGATGAGTTGCGCACGTTGGTCAGCATGCAAACGTCTCTTTTTTCTAAAGCATAATATATACAAGAATGTTCCCGATACAAGCTATCCTAACTCTCAGTATCCAATGATGCTGTAAACTGTTTATCCACTTGCATTATAAACCTCATTCGTCTAACAAAGTTTATAATGCAAGTCGATAAACAGTTCACAGTTTGTAAAGTAAAAAGCATAAATATTTGAGAAAGATATAAACGATATTTACAACTTGCTCTACTAGACTAAAATCTTCATTTCCTTCTCTGTCAGTTACGATTTGATGGATTAAAATATAAAGACCCATATCAATCAGTAGTATTACTGTCATAGAATTAAAATCTTTAGAATTAAAAAGTGTCCGAAGCAAGGTTTCATTTCAAGGAATACGAGGAAAAAGCCGAGACCTTTGAAGAGAGTTCGACTGATATTGATCCATTCCTGACGAAATCTCAGATAGCGGTCCAGCTTTCACGCTGCTACTTGTCATCGCAGCTGAAAATAGGAATTGGAATCCTGCTGAATCATCTGAACTATGCATGTAAAACGTTGAGAAAGACGAGGTAGCTATCACTTCGAAGGAATGAGATGTTAAAAGAGAAGGATGAACCACAGAGGTGTAGTCTAGGTGGGATCACGCAAGAGAAGACTAATATACAGCAGCAAGCATCTCACCCACCTCGTTCACATCTTCTGTTTGGCCGAATGGTTCTACGAGACTAGTCCATTTTTTATGGGCGGGAGAAAGCAGTCAGTGAGGAGTGGAGATGATTTCCAAAGTTCCTGGCAGAATTATTGGCGATATTCGTTTTTGACTGAGGCAGTGCACTGCGACAGTCAAACTTATAAAGGACTTGCATTATTTGACGGTCTGGATTCCATGTCACCCTATGTAAATCGTTGCGCATCTTTACCGGAATAATTAATACCGATTTCCATCATATTTATTCCTTCTATTACGACATCTCCACTTTTCACTTTCAGTCACTACTACTTAGTGCACAGCATATTTATGTGCGAATACTAAATCATAGGAATACATTATTTCATCTTCCATAGTCTGCCTTGTTCTCTTCATGAATGATTATCACTCATAGCTCTCTCACTGTCATTCACGTCATTTTAAAAACTTGAGGGAAGTTACTTTCTTGAAAAGTGTTTCAAGCATCGTACTGCTTTTACAGCATCATACTACACATCGTACTATTCAATGGTACTGCCGCCGAAACCGTTTTTGAGGAAACGCAGCGGTATTTCGGGGCGGTTAATGGTATGTTCTTGTACTACTGAATTAATTCCAGGTTAAATTCTTACCACTCACATTAAACTACTGGCCTGCATTGCAGGAAAAAATACATTATCCAACAAACATAAACGCTGCAAAACAGCAGTCAACTTCATCAGATGTTTCAAGCGACAATCAGACCCCTGCAGGTAAGCTCCAAAATTTTGGGAGCTTAAAATAACAGGTCTTCGTTGATAAATTGATGTATTTCGAAAGTTCAAAAATGCTGCTTAGACATTGCTATCGGAGAGTTGCAGAGTGCACGGTTGTCTTTGATAAGTAAATTTCAGACTTACTAAACTTTTTGTACTTTTTCAGTTGATAATGAAGCTCAGGATTCAAATCGCCCGTATACAGCTGGCACGGCTGACAGTGGTTGTCCAGAAGACGCTTGTTCGGTAGTGCTTAGTCCAAACAGTAACAGAAAAGATGACAATGTTGAATCAGTGGTCATAGACGTTACAGATTGCACTAACAGCAATTCAGCAGCTTCATCCGGTTTATCATTTTTACTTTTTGATAACATCACTATTAATATTTTGGTTTTTCAACTTATTGTTTTAGAAGTTCGGAGCAATCGCGGTGCACCATCAATAATTAATGATTTGAGTGGTTTTTCAACGAACGAAACTAACACTGCCTTTGCAGCATCAAGAAATTTTGATAATGACGACCGTGTCATGCAAAAAGGTATTAAATTTTTCAACTATTGCTCCAGTGCTGTCATTATAAAGTTGTGTCAACTTGTACAGTATGTATTACTATATATTCATATGTACATATATGTATATATATGTACATGTATATGTATATATATATAATATACATATGTATATATATATATATATATATATACATATATACATATATATTGTAGTAATAATGCATATATACCATCATCTACATCCATCTAATGAAAGTAACTTGATTTTAGTGTCCACCAATGTATCGGTAGGAAACTCGATTGCGGGGAATGTTGAGTCTCAAATACTGAACATGATTTCACCAAGGACATCGGAGAATTCTCAGGACACTGATGACACAAGATCGCGCCATTGGCGACAAGTTATCAGGGAGTTTGCATCAGAAACTAAGCAGAAAGCGGTAATTAAATTGAGCTGCTGCTAATTCAATACCTCTGCCGACTCATAATTCAATTAAAATATCTTCCTTTTTACTAGGAGCTTCTTTCTCTTGAATCAGTTTCTGCAAATGGAGGATCTTCAGCTGCAAGTTCAAATAGATCGGAACAAATTCCAGAGGGAATTCCACATTTCATGAATTGGTGCAGGAGAGGTAAACTTTACTACGCTTGGTTTGCCTTTTTTGTATGTAGGTATAACTTCGAAAAGGTTCAAATCTGAAAATTTGAATATAGTCATTAGCTGGCATCTTCATTTTCCCTCTTAATTATGTTTTAATAACAAACATCATTTTAGAAGGACGTCAGAAGTCACATACCGCGCGAGAAATATTACCGTCCGTTTTTAGTAAAGTCAGATTTATTTATTGATATAGTTTTTTCTTGGTTTATAATTTTTGTCAAGTTATTTGTTATTAGTTTTTGAAACACGAAACATTAAAGATCACTATGAAATATTTGCAGAAAACTGGAGGCGGTATTTATGCTCATGTAAAGAAAGTTGGAAATAACGCAGAAAAAATGGATACTGTATTATTAGAGACATCTTTGGAAAACCTGACTTCGGGACATATCACGGAGGGAAAGGTAGCATTATTTTATTATAAAACCACTCTTTTTGATAGGCAATACTACTTTATAAAGAAGCATAGAAAATTTTTATCTGCCACTTTTTAGACAAAATCCTGTTAGTATGTCGATGACAGTGGTATGCAAATAAAGATTCTTTATGCTGCTGATATTTATTCGTTGAAATATTTTGCAGCCATAGATCTTGAAATAGTTAAATTGCTAAATTGTTGGATTCAATCAATTACAGAAAATGCAGCAGACAGTCGAAAGTAGCGCAACTGAACGGAATCTCGCAAAGCAGTTGAGGGATCTCATCGCTCATGTAGACCTCGCAAGAGAGTATCGTCATCACGAATATGAAAGAGTATGCACTTACTTTTAAAGTAAAATTAACAAATCTGCGAACAATCCAATAAAGTCTGTCTGAGGAAGAGGTATTTTTTTAGTGTGGATCACTGCGAAATTTTTTAGGTCTCGCTATTTCTCTTCCTAGGTCTATTTTGCTAAATTTGCTAACAGTTTTAAGCAATGTATATGTTAATTTTCTCTACAAGTAATAAGTATTCATTACTCGTTTCAGCATGGACATGAATTCATCTGAAAAGTCCGTTTCATTGTTAATGTTTTCTTATCATGATGGTGTTGCTGTATTGCTGTGGTTTGATTGTAGTACTACATGCTTAATTCATGGAATTTGGATTCTGGAAGAATCTAGCATGAATTTGAATGTCGTCATATGTTTCTCATGTTTGCATGAAGTGTGTTCTGTGCCAAAATATTTGTTCCCTATAGTAAAATTAATTTTTATAATGTGTTGCTGATGAAAAGATAATGCATTTAAATTTCAGCTGGAAGAAATTTTCGATCAGGCATTACAAGAAAAAGAATATTTCCGTCAACAAGTGAATGAATTAAAAAAACGTGTTGTGCAGTTGGAAGAAGATAAACAAGCACGACAAGAAAATCTTGCTGTAAGAGAAGAAGCGGAGAAAATACGCAGTGCTGATATTGAACGTTTGAGACGAGAAAATGCTATTCTGAATCGACAGCGAAAGCAGAAGGATGGTAGTAATACTGCTTTAGTAAATCTGCTTAAAGAACAGGTCAGTACCGATTTGTATCTTGTTGTTCTTTTACGCTTAGATTCCTGATTTACGATTTATTTGAAAGATAAGAGGTACTAAACTAACCTGTGATTGGTTAAAGCTTATTTTAACCTGCCATTGATTAAAGTTTGTGTTTTATCTTTTTGTAAGAATAAAAGCGCTTTAAAAGCATGTATCCAAACTTGACATTATTCAAGCTACTGTGGACTATTTTCTGAATGAAATGAAAAGCTTAAAACATTTTTCAGATAAGCGATCTTCGTATATTGGTACGGGATTTTGATCGGCAACGTAATGAGTTGAGGATGCAAATCAGAAAAAGCAATACAGTTTTAAAAGAAAAGAATGAGATTATTGAACAATTGAAGAGTGAAAAAACACACTTGGAAAAACGAATTGCAATCATTGCGGTTAATTTTTGTTATATCACATAGGGTTTTGATCTCTTCTTTCCACTGAAAATATCTTCTTAGAAGTGTTAAAAATTAAATATTTCCCAATGTGTTAAATACAAAAATTAAATCAGTTTTGGACCACTAATCCTAAACTACTTAATATGTTTTGAGATAGTCAACTCTTAAAAAGCCCTTATTATGTTTTGGGATAGTGAACTCTTAAAAAGCACTTTCTATTTTCTTTTTTTTCTTTTTTTGAAAAACGCTTTTACAATCAGAATTTTTCACGTCGAAAATTTATCAAGATATTGAAGTGGTGATGGTCGATTAGCGGAAGATCAGAACAGATGAAGTAAAACCCATTTGTTCAACTTCTGAAGTACTGCTTGCTTGAACTATGATCAGATATTGTAGAGAATTGAAGCTCTTTCTGTTAACAGAATTTGGCATTTTCTTCACATGTTATTGGTGCACCTGATCGACTTTTCAGATGTAGTTATTTTGTCAGATTGACGACTATTACCTTACTTAACGATTAACACCTTTTTACTTTTATATTATGCAAGTTCGTTTGTGGGAGGTTGGAGCTTTTTTGCAATAACTGAGGTCGTCGTTATCCTATACAGTCCTCTTTGTGTCGTAGATCTCAGTTTAAATAAGAAACAGTTATATGTTGCACAAAATAAGAAAGCGCACGAAATTTTAAAACAGTGAACTATCGGTCAGCTTATGCGATATCCATATCCACGCCACAAAGCTTCAGCGTGCCTTAGATACCGAACAGCTGTAGATTGGTTAACATCTGTTTTGGTAGCTTCTGTTCTAGTTGTAGGAAGGCGGATTGTCAACTTCCAATTATCGGTCATTACACTCTCCATTTTCAAGGCTTTTATTTCTCAATTTATGACTAGTTTTGAACTCACAGAGGAAGCAGCCGAGTTTGTTTTTATCTAACATCATTTGTGTAGTCTGTAATAAATGAAATAAGCGGTAAGTAATAAGTCATTATAAAGAATAACGTAAAACAAGGATTCAGCATTAGAATGGCGTCAGTTTAGCCAGATTAATTTAGGAATGTATTCATTATTGAACAGCAGAATTTAGTATTTAGAAATCATTGCTTTTCCAATTTAAAAAAGGAGCTTCCAACGAATTGCTTACACGAAATGTTCAGAGAAACCCAGAGTTCATTGATATTGGAAATAACGGAAGGATTCATCACTTTTCCTTCGAACACGTCCTACAACAAGGTCTTATTTTAAAAATGTCTTTCAGAAAAACAAGGCAGCCTTTCGAGGTCGTTTAGCTGAAAATTCTATTTCTGCCCAGGCGATTGCCCGAGCTTCAAAGAATGCAACTGTTACGACATCTACAAAGGACTTGACCCCTCAGAATAACGAATTTTGCATAACGAATGCAAGAGATAGTGGAAGGCATACCAGTCAGGTATCAGCAACAAGAAATTTTGTGCTTTTTGCTCTGTTCAGTTTTTTACTTGTTGCAGCGGGTATGAAAAACAACTTCGTAGTGCTTAGTTATCGGAATGAGAAGTAATTTATTGCACAGTTTGAACTTAATCAGTCTTCATGTGGTAACTGATATCAATATTGGAATCCGGAAGCTGTAATATTTGAATGTCACACGTTGAAAGTTAAGAATTATCCAATAAGAGTAAATTTGATGGATTTCAGATCAATAACGTCTCAAGTAGGATGCAAAATACTGTAAATATTGTCGAAAATACGGACACATTAAGCGATAATGAAGATGTCGTAGTTGTTGAAGAAGGAGTGACACCGGCACGTTTGGGAAAAAATGTTCGGTGGAACGAACCTCTTGAAACAATGGCTTCTATTTCTCCGCCGCTTTGTGCACACTCTCCTCTAAATCTTCCAAATTCTGATATGGTTTACTATTTATTTTTTAATTTTTTGAATGAATAATAAACATATTACTTTTGACTACTATTGTCTTATTCTTAAGATAAAGTGCCAAAAAAATAACTTTTCCTTCTACAGCAGCTAATTCTAACTGAAAATAATATGGTTGGAAGAGCATCGTTGTATCGCAGTGAAAAAGATTTTACCGTCTACACTTTAACTCACTGTGGTTGTCACTTTTATGAATATAGCAACACAGACACTCGTTGGATACATTCAAGCAAACTTTATCAGGTTATTTCAAGATGACTTCTATGTGACTTTGTGTTCTGCGCATTCGTGATTTTACAGTGATGGCATTTTGTTACGTGTCACCTTCTCGCTCTAAAATAAGAAATCAGTTGTAACAGCAATTTTTATGTATTTAAATTTACAACAATGGTGAAAACACTTCAGATGGGTAGAAAGTTGACTTCAGTTGTTAGATGACCTCCTGCTTAAGAGTTCTTTTTTTCGTATTAATTTTAGTTCTTTCTGCCTTGTAGGTAAATTATTATGGACAAGCAGGTGCAACCACTGTTGAGATATGTGGGGGGAAATTGCTTGTTCGACATTTTTTAACTGGTCAGTTGGAAATTTATCGCGGAGATGGTGAAACTACTGTAGTGACACCTGATGGGCGTCGCATAGAGGTTGTTAGAGATAAATCAGGATCCGTGCGCGTCGAAATGTATGCTTTTTAGATTTTTTTATTAAGACAATCTTTCCAAACGCAATTTTTTTTCGAAAATACGAGAAAATGTTTTTTATCTATTGCGACAGCAGAAATCTGGCGGAAAAAAGCAGAAAGTTCAGTCCTGGTTTTTTTTTTTTGAGTTTTATCATAGCTTTTTGCTTCAAGTATATCCTTTCCTTAAAATTAGCATCTTAGCTATGGATTGGATGGGAGAGTTCGGATCAGAGGACGTGGCGAAGCAGAAATAGAACATCGAGCAACGCAAACTTCATGCCATCGCATGGATGGTTCTTACGCTAGTTATATTGCTAGTGATGATTCGATGGAGTGGCGTTCACCGGATTATACAGTAAGACTGTCGAATTTTTGTGCCGTAGTTTGTGGTCTTTGTCTCCTTGATGTATATTTTGAACTCATGAATAAACTGACTTTAGACTAGTGGTTGTTGGTTTGGCGAATGCCTTCATTGTAGTGTCGATCTCATTGGCATTTTTTCTCCCGTTGCTTGGCTACTTTACGCGTTTTAATCTTATGTGTACCATTAAGATTTAAAATAAAGCTCGTCATTTGGTTAATTTCACTAGCAATTGCTGATATAAATCTCATAATTATAGGAAATTTGTAGGTGCATCGGTTTAAAAATGGTGATACAAAGGTGCGTCTAAATTTAATTGATACAAGTATCACGATGCTTGTCATGGATGTTGGCACAGTGAAACATTTATCAAATCCGTTCCATAGACGACTTTCGAAATATTGTGTTGAATGGGGCACTGTTGCTAGAAAAAGGTCCAGAGTTATTGCTGCCGCCCAGTCTGGTGTACTTAACCAGTTGTGAATGAGTTAACTTCTTGTTTTATAATGTGACTTTCTATTTCCAAGAAACCCAGTCTTGAGCTGATTTTTCTTTTTTATACGTACAGAGAAACTTGACAACGCAGTTACGGTTCTTTCGTTGCTAGCTTTGTCATTGTATAAGTTGAATGAAATTCTCGCCTCTTGCAACTTTAGAGTTCTCGTAAGATTACTCATTTTCATTCCTTAAGCATCATGAACACAAGACGGTGCTTTTATCATAAAGTGTACTTCTATTTTACTGTGAAATAAACTTTGAATTACCGCACAGCAATTCCTCTACTTTTGTTAAAAAATAAAATCACTGAAGATCAGTGTTGTACTGGGAGTGGTTGGAATATTATAATGCCGAGAATTCCTTGAAGTCGAACTTCGATATGTCTGTCCGTCTGTACCTGGGTGTGTGTAAGCCGCGTGGAGGCAGGGACGCAGGGTTTGTCTCACATTTTCATATGAGGAAAGTTGTTTTTTCAGTGGGACAGCCAAATGCTTTTATCGCTGAAGTCCTTCAAAGGTAATCCCACTGGGATCGATCCATATGTGTAGTATGTGTAGTAAGTACTTGCTACATATTGAGATGATGTATTCATTGTAATTTCGATGCTTCTCCTTTGCGACCATCGCTCTCGCTTATCAGTGGGCCTAGTGGTAGATGTTACGCGGGATCCTAACATATAAGGGATGCTTGTGTCACCGTGGCGCAACTGCGATACTGTTCGGATTGATCATTGAGGTCTTGGTTTATGTCGTTCGTTTTGTCATCAGATGGACTGTGATAGATGTCCGGGTATGGCAAGGTGAGTGTGAGTTATACTGTGGTGTTGGTAACTTCTGTTTACATTATTATGATCTCGCTGACATCATCCTCCCAAGAAGCCATCATTCCTTTCTTTTTAGGAAGAAAAAACCAGAAAAGACTCAACTTCAGTCTTGCTTGATTTATATTTTCTGAGAACTGCTGTAAACTTAAGTACCATATAATAATGCGTCTTTTAAATGACATAAATTCGAGCCGATACAGCATATCGAAAAATACATGAAGCGAAAACCAGTAGCATTGTTACTTAACATTTGATCAATTTATCTTTACAGTCATTTTTTTAATAATCAAACCACTTCTGCTTAAATTTACGGAAATATTAAGCAAGCTCACTTAGTATGAGACGAAGTGTAATTATGCGTTTGATTTTTACAGGTGCGTGATTTGCTAATAGGAAATTTTAAAGTATTGCTCACGGTTTGTCCTTTGGAACCGTTGTCGATATATTGCATCCTACTATAGGTATTAAAAATTTGTTTCTTCTTAATTTTTAACATGTCTTGCAAAAATTGTATTATGGATGCATCCGTATGTCCATCTCTTCACCCTTGGGCAATCGGGGTTGAAGAATGGTAAGGTGGATTCATATAATAAAATCATCCATGTAATTTTTGTTTCATGGAATAAACAGACAAATTTTCACAGTCAAGAGCTGTTTATTTATTGGAAAATTTCCCAATAGGTTCTACTGCTGTTATTAAAAAAATCAGGTTCTTTTTAGTCTGGAATTCAAGCTTGTTTTCGAATGCTAAGGCTATTTAACAATATTAAACTCTAAAAAATCCTTATTTCAAATTAATTAATTCGGTCTTTATAAAAGACCGAGAGATGGAGGTAGGATTTGTAAGGGTAAAGATTTCAATAAAACAGTTTCAGTAGGTTATTGATTAGTGTGCAACGATCAGTTGCGGGTAAAGTGCTAAGAGCAGAGCGTATGGGTTCGAAAAAAGACGAAGTTTCTCCATCTGATGTAACTTTGAATATGGATTCCGCGAAGCAAGTTAACGCTAGGCCATTACGTGCTAACGCTTTTTCCGGTGAGTAAATCTTATATTCAACAGACGGTTTGGTTTTTCTTAGTATTATTTTGAATAACACGTATGAATTAAAATGTTAGAATGTCTTTAGTCGAAGAAGAGATACGAAATCAAGAAGAGCACGAAAAGCAAAAAATTGGTCACCGGCGCATAGATCGTCAGGGCGAGGTAGATGTTGGATTCTTTAGTAATTTACTGATTGAAAGCATAAATATATTTTGATGTATCATATGAATATGTTCACTCTACTCCACGAAATAATATCACTTTCGGAAATCTTCAAATCACTACCACAAACAGAGGAAGGAACAAATAGGCATAAAATATGCGATATCTTTTTAAAGCGGTTAATGAGAATTGACTTGATTCAGTAGCAATAGATTTCATTTTTCTCATCCATGAGTTTGACCTAATGAACTGACTAATTGTAACTTAGTTTTTGTTTTAAATGAAAATATCTGACTTAATTTTATTATGATATATGTTTTCAAGGTGAGCTACAAACGTGTCCCGAGCAATGCGTTAATGGGAGCAATACAACTGGGAATTGCGAATTCAGTAGGCTCACTAGCTTCTATACCAAAAAGAGATCTCCTACTGCAAGATTTTGATGTTGTCCATACTGTTTCTTTTCCGTCGTATGTTCTTTTTAAATAAGTTCTGGTCTGAAAAAATAACATTGGATAAACAGAATTTATAAGCTTTAGCTTTGTATTAGTTTCTATTTTATCATTTCACTCTTTCAGTCATTCAATGTAATTGAGAGTATTTCGGTTATCTTCGATTTTAAGCTTTATATATGGAAATGCTTCAGAATGTAGGAAGTGAATCTGCTCATTGCAATGGTTATTTAACATTTGTTTAATGATACGGATTTTGTTCTTGGTCCATCAGATGCTTTAGAGGAATAATTTATATTGCAGAAGTGGATCACAATCAACTCCATCTCATAATTATGGTGACTTTCGATTCCAGACTTATGCGCCGATCGCATTCCGAACTTTTCGAGATCTTTTTGCGATCAAAACTGCTGATTTCTTGGTGAGACTATTAAACTTGTAAATTTTTCCGATTTTTTAAAAATTTTCGGCTGAATTCACTTTGTAATATTTGTCTTCCCGAAAAAACTTTTCACCCTTGAACTGCACTTTTTTAAATTTCATTTTCGGTTTTTTCTTTATGCCGTCTAGTTGGTTTCAGCGTTCTATATGTATGTTTCCACTGAAGGAGCTATCAAATGCAGGAGCATCTGGATCCATATTCTATGTCTCTCATGATGATCAATTTATAATCAAAACGGTGCAATCTAAAGAAGCTGAGTTTCTGAAAAAGCTGCTTCCCGGTTATTATATGGTTAGCGTACCTTGTACTTCTATTGCTTTTTTCACAACACTTTTTTTTTCGTTTGAAGGTTTTGAATCTGATCAATTATTTGCAAATTATTTACATCTTCGGATGTCAAATTCCTTCAATAAACATACAGTGTGAAGCGTTTCAGAATTTCAATCAAAATCCACATACATTATTGCCAAAATTCTTTGGATTATTTTGTTACCAGGTATCATCTTATATTTGGGCTTAGTTATCGCCCTCTTAAAAATTAAATCCCATAAATTCTGTTTAATTATTTTGCATAACTGGTGTATATATGATTTCTTCTTGATTGTGCTTCAGAGTTTGGGCAAGAATATCCGACTGTTGTTGATGAATAACTTATTACCTCAAACAATTATGATGCATGAAAAGTATGATTTAAAAGGATCGACTTATAAAAGGTTGGCATCGAAACACGAACGCGCGAAGGCTTCACCAACATTGAAAGATTTGGATTTCATTTCTGTACACCCCGATGGATTGCTACTTGATGTGGGCGTGTATGATGCCATAATGAAAACTATTAGCCGAGATTGTTTGGTACTTTTTCTAAGTAAATCGCATTTGTGAAATATTTTTTTCACGTGATTTTCCCAAAAATTGATTCCTGTTTTTATTTCAGGTGCTTGAAAGTTTCAAAATAATGGATTACAGCCTTCTTGTCGGTATTCACAATAAAAGTACGGCAAAAAATGCAGCCGATGCTATTGATGGTGGAGAACCGTCGACTTCAAATCAGGTTCGTATTTTCAACAGTTTCAATTCAGTATATTTACCCTATTCCATTTCATTTGGCCATTTCTTACCTTTGTGATTCCAGTGCTATTTTTGTTTCCAGTGAGTAGTAACTGAAAATTTTTCAAATCTTACAACCGTAAACAATTGCAGAAAGCGAAAAATAAAACCGTTCGAGCGAAAAATGAGAAATTATTGGATTCAAATTATTATACGCAGTATGAGTAAGTTTTCCATCATTTGATTTCAAATAGTTTTTATTTTGTGTCGTAATTTGTGTTATATGAATGAAATATATCGCAAAAGTAATTAGCTTTTTCAAAAGTTAATTAGCTTTTGCGATATAGTTCAGGAAGTATGATTATGTTTTTACTGAATATTTTTTCAGGCAGATATCATTTCCAGCAAAAAACCAACGAGGAGATAACTTGTTATTATTTCTTGGTATAATCGACATTCTGCAAAATTATAGGTTGTTGAAAAAACTAGAACACACCTGGAAAAGTGTACTTCATGATGGTGTATGTTTTCTTTCAAGATTACGAAGTTTCGCAATGGTTACATAAACTGTAAGGAACTTCTCTTCGGTAAATTTATAAATTCCAGGACACAATTTCTGTCCATAATCCGACATTTTACGCTCAGCGTTTTATCACTTTTCTCAAATCGCATGTATTTCATGTGATGGCAGGTGACTCTTATTAATTTAATATTATTTGTTGCATATTAATCAGTTGCGTTGTACTTACCAACTTAAATTCATTTTTTTGTTGGTATGCATGTGAGAAAACGCGGTAAGAGGCTCATTGATTACGTGTTTCATTCTTCAGTGCGATAAGCATATTTCAAAATAGTGGGTGGTTTAATTTTCTCAGTGATTACGAATTTTTGTTTCCTCATATCGACATTTTCCAGAAAAATATCTGATGCATAAATTCTTATTTCAAATCCAAATCACTGTATGTAGTGCATGTTTTTTGCAGCTGAGTTGGTACCTAAAGGCGGTCACACAAAGTTCAAATCGGTCGTTACATCTTATTTGGGTATTTTCAGTATCATTTCTTATAGTGAACCTTTAAAAATAAGAGTCTTTATCATAAATAGAAAAGATAATTTTATCAGTTTTATCATAAATAGATTGCGTAAGTTAACATACAAGAGTATTTATATGGTAGTTTTTTGCCTTATTATATTGAAGGCCTTGCGGTATTAATAGTTGATAAAGGGCCTGTATTATTTCTATTTCAAAAAATTTCAAGTTTATTGATTTCAATTTCAAATTCTGAACCATCTTTTGGCTTTTTTTATTGAATTTGACTTCACACTATCATTTTTCACATCTGGTTTCTTTTAATTTCCTTGTGAGCGTCGTCAGCATGTTTCATTCCAAAATTTGTTACCTTATATAGACATGGAATTGCCTGCAAGTGTTGTCTTCAGTTTCGTATTTAACATTTAGTTCACTTTATTTCATTTCCAGTGTTTTCTTTTAAATGTCCATAGTGACCGACATATTTTTTTAAAATGGTTCCTAGTTTTAGTAACTCTTAATTAACCCTTAATCTAATTTCACCTTTACTACGAACTTTGAAAATCCCTGGACTGGCAGACGTACAGTTCATAAGTAATTTCTTGAGACTTAATAGACATACAAACATGCTTTTTTTATGCTACCTTATCGACTTGGAAATTGCAATTATTCATAGAAAGTATGCGGATGAAATTCATTCTCATCAACTTCAGTTACATCCTCATGAATCGGCTGAATCTAGTGATTGGGAATATAGTTACTCATCGATTCAGACTTTTTATTTTTATAGAAAGAAGAAAGCCTAAAATCACATGGAAGTAGTAAATATTGTTCTTAGAACAGTTTCTTTTTGTACGGGCTATGAAATAACTTACCTGTTAATCCACTTTAGTTCTAGAAAATTTCACTTTATATTGGAAGGTATGCTTTTAGAGTGTCGATTTTGCAATTTTTAGTTTAATATTCCGAAGAAAATTTTAGCACTTCGACATAGTCCTTCCAAACGGTATCTCCTTAGGCGAAGTTTAACCGAAAAAGACGAAGGCGAATCAGTTACACTGATGGATACTTCACGAAGACCTTTCAGCAATCTTCAGTGAGTTTTATTTTTTTATTTATACCCTTGTGAAGAGTGCTTACAGAGGTTTAAAGAATGTCTTCATTGCAAGATTCGGAGTTTTTCGTTTCATTCCTATCAAAGTTCAATGAAATCATTTTTTAATAACGGAAATTCTATAAAGACTTTTTTTGTCTTCAAAAATTTTATAAAGTCAGGAATTAAGCAACATGGAGTTACTTTTTTAATGTGTCTTGTTGAACAAAGGGTTATTGTTTTTTCAAGTTGTGCTGGCATTAAACTTGTATAATATTAAACTGTGTTTTGCGGAGTAAAAGGTAGATGTAAGCATCATTTTGTCTGCTTCACTGAAGATGAAGTAACATAACAAAGAATACTTATTCGCACTATCAGACACTTTTGTTCGTTTTCAAGTTCAGTTCGATCCACTATAGATTCTGATTACTGTTTGAAGAAAAAATGTGTTTTGACTCCATATTTCAGTTCTTATGGCAAAAGTTCCAGGAGAATTTTATGCCAACATGGACGGGAAACCGTAATTGAAGAAGGAGGATGCATATGTTGATTCATTATAGTTTCTCTCATCAACTTCTTTAATTCTCTGCGAAAATTTGTTTCAGAAAGCCGCGAGAAAAGAAAGTTGAGCGTCTGTTCGCTCCTGATCCTGATCCTACGGAACTACTGGAAGCCACTAAGTTACATTCCTCAGAAGAAAATGTTATGGTAAGTTTTTTGAAAGTATTTATTAATTTGTAATTTTGTGATTCAGGTGGGACTGGATGGCACCTTATTAGAAACTACTTAGCAAAAATAGAAAGTTCATGTTACATTTTTCCGTGCATGCTTACTGCAACTGTTTGCATTGCTTTTGTAGCTCTAATCTCCTGATGCTTTACTTTTTTTCGACACAGATCAAAGAGGAATTAAAAAAATTGTATGAAACTTTGGTTTGCTTCATCAAATAGCATACTACTATGTAAAAAGGAAGTCTCTGATAAAATCTGTTTTTTGCTCGCTGATGAGGCTTTTGGTCGTTTTAACCGGAATATAATGAATTACATACTGGCTGCCTATTATGTATTCATTATAAGGCATTTTCAAATGAACAAAAACATTGTATCACCTGAAGGTAACCAGTATTTTGCGGTGTGAAAGACAAAATCTGCTTTTATTTATATAAAGAGATTAAAGTCAATTCATATGTAAAATTTAAGCGGAAGTACTTAAGCGCACATACTTCAAGTTTGTTTTCAGACACATTTGTAAAATCCAAGTTAAGCCAAGCCAGCTCTGCGCTAATCTTTCGCTTGTCATTCATCTGTCAGTGCGTTTATGGTTCATTTTGTAATAAGTGGAGGAGGAGTTGAAATATGTCAATATTAAGTGGGGAAATGTACGGGACTTTTGAACTAAATACCGATTTCATTTTGTTGATTCGTTTTTGAAATGATTCAAGCTACGAATTCCTTTTCATCAGCTGTTGAGTTTTTTGCATAATTCATATTCTAACTTCAATATCGCTTGTCCACACCAATTTCTGATTTTAGTGCACCTTGCAGGGAAATGAACCTGAATGATAGGAATATTGTTTTGTAATTATTAAATAGTCGCTTGTTTACTTTTCCATTAAGACATGCTAATAGTATTCGTCTGGCATTAATTTAGTTATTTTCGAAAGTTTGCATGAATCATATTAGCATATTTTTGAACTATGCTTTATTCGTTGTATCTCTTTCTATATTAGTTCGTTTCCATTATCTCTTTGTTTAAAAATTATTTTTAAAACAATTTTTCCTCGTTTTTTTTGCAGTATGTTTCTTGACTGGTGCACTTTGCAAATTTTTTCGTACGCAACCCCCCACTTGTGTTATTGTAGTTGTGTCTTGTAAACAATTTTAAAACCTGTTTTTGAAGATGAAAGACGAGTGTAACATGTGATTGCGATCTATAATGCTTTGCCCTGTTCCTAATGCACATTAAGGTTTTTTATTTCACCAATGGAAAATTGAGGAATCAGCGTTACCCGAGTTCTATACTTTGTGTCGCATCCCTCTATATTTACAGCTTTTTATTGCAAGTAATAGTTTTCAGAAATATGAAGTTGTTTCTTCATATAGTGAAGTTATGCTGCTTTTTTTAAATTTTGACTCTCTTAATTTCTTTCATTACTTGTGCATAATCATTCACAGGTCTTTCTTCTGTATCACGTGGATTGAATGTAGTTTGTAACCTGGAAGTTCTTAATAAGTGGTTTCAAAGCTTTTTTTTTAATCAAGCTTTCGTAATATATTTGAAAGTGAAGCTGTTTTCATCGATGATAGAATAGCAAACAGATTGTTTATGAATAGTTTTTGTATTTTTGTCTTCAACTTTTTTGGAAAGATTTCCTTTTGCAGACGAAACCTTGATGGATAAAAATTCGATAACAATATGTGGATTGTGATAATTAATCAGTTCAACCATTATGATTTATTGTTACCTTCCTTAGCGAAATATTTTGAGTACTTCTGAACAGTCATGTAGAAATAGGGTTTATGAAAGACGTGGTTCCATCTCAATTATGGGATAAGAAGTTCTGAAATAAGGACTTAGTTTTAAATCAGAAATATTGATTTTCTTAAAATTGAATCTCAAATTCCAGCTTATTTGTATCTTTCAAGGACTTCTGACTGCGAGCATTCTGGTTGCTGTTTTTCATAAAAAATGAGAGAAAAGGTACTTGGGATGAACTGGAAGGTCCGTGGGGAAAGGTCAGAGGTAGTCTTATTTCCATTTTAAATGATGCTTTGTTTTAATAAAAGTTGTAAGAAAATATGCTAAGTAGCTTATCAATAAAAACTTGCTCAAATATATGCATAAATTGTTGGTTGAGGAGTCATAATCTGATAGTTTTATCCAAGCATATCTTCTCTGCAACCGTTAGATTGTTGATTGTAATGTAGATTTGAACAAAATTTGTCTACTTGAATAATACATGTGTATGGTTTTTTTATCTTTATATCACTGCGTATTAAATGAGACAAATGATTGTTTTTCGTTAATATTACAATATAAGCTATCTGCTCAACTGTATTGGTTAATGGAGAAATTGCAAGAGCTTTGCCATATACGGTCCATGATGGTATGAGTGTCATGGGATTCTTTTATTTACCATGTCTGCAAGGTAAGCGGATGTAGTTTTAGAAGGGACGATGTTTTCTGGATTTTAATGGCTGTAAGAAAGTTGAGACTTTTTGACTTGAAGAATAGTCAAGCATGATGTTAACTTTATCAGCTGCCAAAGATGAGTGTGCTGTGCTCTGAACAAGATTTTTAAAAATTCTGAAACCAGTTGATAATGCAACATCTCTTTTGCTGCATTATTTGAAGGAAGAACTGCATGAGAAGAATTCGTTGGAAAGCAGGAAGTGAGACTATATCTTATTCAAATGTATTCATATGTCCAAAGAAGGGATGGGTTGAGTTAACAAACACCATCTTTTTTTTTTTTCGTCCAGGTGATCTATAAATCACTTGAAAAACTAGGAATGCTAAAAAGCCTACGTAGTGATCATACACTTGTCAAATTAGCCAAGTGTGAACCAGTTCTTGTTTATCATTGAAGATGTTGATAGATGATGTAAGATTTTAGGAAATGCAGTGCATAATGCAATGTTAACAACAGGGAATTGCATTGCATCGATAGTTTTAGATGAAAATTATTCTCCCTAAAATTAGGCAAAACTGCATTGAGCAGAGCATGGAAATTGATCACAATGCACTGCTATTGGTTCTCCTTTTTGAAATTGTCAAATTTCATAAATGTTTTCAAACTTTGTAAAAGAAAAAATTCCGTTGGTTTTATAGTTGTTAGTAAAACTGCTTCCATGGAGTAATTCTTCCACTTTTATCATGATATTATTGTAGGATTGATAAACATCTGGTGATTCGTCCTACTTCGTTTCACGAATGTTTTCCATCTAAATTGAAATGATTTCATTGGATAAAAGCTTAATTGTATAGGTATGAAGGGAATGGAATACAATTGAAATTCTGAAAGAATTCCGTTTCTGAACACAAATGTACTGTTCATTGCATCCTTGCAAAATCACCACAAAAAATTCAATCCTGCAAAATGTATGAACGATTCGAGATTTCGTCGATAAAGGAAATAACATCCTTCTTTTTACTTTTCTCCCAGGAAGACATTTCGGACTATATGGGTCAGCTTCAGTTTGGATCTAAATTTGACCAATCCCGTACTGTTTTTACTTAAAAATATTAGGCAGAGATGTGATGAAATTTGAGAATTTGAATCGACTGAAAGAAGTGGGGTACTGTTATATTCCATGCCAAGACAATTTGTCTGCGGAGCAATATGTTTGTTTGGATATCTTGAAAACGCTTGCAAGAGTGCAACTCGCAGTCATCCTTAATTTTTTTCCTTATTCCAAAACAACGAATATGCGCATCTTTCAATCACGGTCTATTTAAGTCATTGATTGACAATTGAGAAAAAAGAATGATTTGAAGACTCTTTCGTTGAAAGAATTTTCCTCAAGCACTTCTTCCGTAAATACATCATTTCCACAAAATTCTCATCTGTTTTTGCTTTTGGCTATAAAAGTTTGCAAAAGCACAAAGGCGGAAAGCAATGCGTACCGATCATCTGACTTGGAATTTGGTATTTCAAGCAATCCACCAAATGATGGCATGATAAGTCCTTTCGAAAACAAGTCTTTGTTTTTATCAGTAGAGTTCAAAATTTATGGTGCTTGAAATTCCATACCAAGAACTGTAAAGGTTTCAATTATTTGTTATCAGCTGGTCTTTTGACGGGTAGTTGTTGATTTTAGATGCACTTTCGACTTCAGGTATACTGTGCCCGAAGTTAAAAGTGCATCTGTAATCAAAAGTTTGTGGAGGTGAAAAGCTCAGTCAGATAGATATGGACTTTTTAAAAACGACGTCATTTCAGAACTAGAATGCACAGAATTGATTGCAAAATCGATACAGCGTTTGGGCCTTGCAAGAGAATTCAAGAGGATGGAATAAAGGCTTGTTCTTATTGTGTTGTGCCTCACTTGTGATCGTGGAATGGTTGTAGTCAAGCCGCCTTCAAATACTTTCTACTTTTCTTCCAGTAAGTTACTTTCCTTTGAAAAAGGAAGAAAAGTTGACAAATCAGGTGACTTGAAAACACAAAGCATTGAACTGTGGAAATATCCCTTGCATTTTGATATTAGCATTGAAACTCGAATTATAGTTTACAGTTCCTACCAAACAGTTGAAAAAGAAAGATGCAAGCATCCCTAATTTAATCTGTTCTAATTTAATCTGTTGACGAAGCATCTTGAGATACAGTAATTGGTGGCGACGTAAAAGTACTGTCATCATTCAATTATTAGGAAAGAGCTGAGAATATGTTCAGTTTTATCATAAATTTCCTGCTCTTCATGTTAAAATTCTTCAATTAAAGATAAAAGCTGTATTAAAAGACAGGAAGAATGTTATGAACAGCTATCAAAAATTATCTGGAAATTATGCTAAAGCATGAATGAAGAATAAAAATAACGTTAATCTCTCATTCTCCTTGATTAATCTATTTATTCTAGATGTAATCCTGTATTTGACAATCGGTGGAGCTGGTTTTGCATACTTAGTAGTTTTGTCGATATGCATTCTTCGACGGCAGCGATACGCAAGTTTTATGAAACGTGATGTTTTGATTAAATCCCATATTGCTGTTGCTTTAAAATATGAAAACGAAAAAGGTCCAGGAGGTCTGAAAAACTCACCATCATCACTCTCATCACCGTTTTCCTCTGATAGCTCGGGCTCTAGTCCTGTTATACCAGCTCAATCATCCATTATTTCACCACAACCGTTGAGCCGGTTGCCTCCTTTACAGCTAGGATCAATTCGAGGATTTATCCGTTTCAGTGTTCACTACAGCATCGAGAATTCAACATTACAGGTAAATTACTAGCAGACCAGATGAAGTTTATGCCTAAAAGGATCGAAAATAATCATCATAGATGAAATGATCTGTGACTGATAATATAGAATAAAACATATCGACTGCTTATTCATTCTCAGTCATAGATAGTGTGAAATGACTTGGCGTCAAGTGCGAATATCCGTGACTGCATTAATGAGATGCGCTTGAAAAGATATTGGTTGAAGGATATTTTCATTTCTAGTATATTCTATTAAGTCCGTATTAGTACTCATTCAAGCAGAGTAAGTTGCTTACAGGTTAACATAATATCTTGTCGGGATTTACCAGAATTAGTGGTGCCATCCGATGGTCAATGTCTCCTGGAACCATATGTCAAACTTCAACTACTACCGGAGAAAGAACACCGTGTTAAGACTCGTCTTGTTCGTGCATCTAGAAATCCGCAATATGATGAAATATTTTCTATGTATGGAATGGATACATTACAACTCCCTACAACCAGTTTGCATTTCGCGGTTAGAAGATTTTCATTAATTCAGAAACACCAATGTTATGGAAGAACCAGTAGGCTTAAATTCTCGCTAAAATTAATTAACCTTATGAATAGTTGTTTTACTGGTCTACTTTGACTTGCTGAACATCTTTGTAACAAATATTTTTGCTTTATGTTCTTTGTTCTTTCCAGAATGCTTTAAAATTTTAGGTGATTGCATTCGATCGTTACAGTCGAGATACACTACTAGGTGAAGCAGTATACCCACTGAAAGATGCAAATTTGTTGAGCAGTGAGATTATCACCGTGGATTTGAAACTAGAAGGTCGTGGAAAAGGAACAAATAATGACAACCGTGGACAAGTATTGCTATCATTGTGCTATCAGCCAACGACACATAGGGTTACAGTTGTATTGATTAAAGCGAAAGGTTTGCCAAAATTGGATGTCAGTGGAATGGCTGGTAAGCCGAATTCTTAAATAATTTTGGCAATTTATTTATCCCATTCACTTTTTTCTCATCCAAACATCCACTTATTTCCCGACAACTCAAGAATGACGGTATTCTGTTTCCAACATTGCATAGCTCGAATTACACCATGACATCTTGCCTAACTCGAAGTATTTCTCATTTCTGCTTAATTGATTTCAATCCAGTTCTAGCATTCCGACTTCTCTCAAATTTTTGTACTTTTTTTCATTTAAATTTCAGATCCATATATTAAAATTTATTTGCTGTATAAGGAGCAGCGGATTTCCAAGAAGAAGAGTCATGTGAAAAAATGTACACTATCACCGGTTTACAATGAATCGTTTGTTTTTGAGTTGCCATGCACTGAGGAAGAAGACTTGGATAACGTTAAATTTGAAATTGTGGTTATGGACTGGGATCGCTTGACGAAAAATGAGGTATTTTAAATTTTGCTTCAACAAGTTGAATCGAGAGGACTTGGAATCCCTTCGTTGAGAGTTCCTCGGCTATTTAATGTCAGAATTCCAGCGTGTATTAGTTGCAAGTCAGTGAATACTGCATGGATTATCAAATAAAACTTTCCCTGTAGAACAAATGCGATTTAAAATTTTTCTTGCAATTTGAAATTAAAGCCATATTTCATCAGTTTTTAGGACTGCTTGTTGAGTTTAGAAATTTAAAATATTTTTTTCAGGTGATGGGTAAATGTTTTATAGGATCCAGTGATGAGCACTGGCTTCAGGTACGGAGCAATCCACGACGCCAAATTGCTGAATGGCATCAGTTGTCCGTCTGAACTAGAAATCGAAAAATCTCAAACTAAATTATCATATTTTCCTCACTACATTATTCCTAAAATCACAGGTGTGTATTGTGCCAATTTAAAAAATTCCGTTGCTATCTGCAAAATAAATATTAAAAAGAATGAAAAGAAATTGTTAAAGCATATAAGACAAGACGTTGCAAATGATTGTTAACACTTATATACTACTGTTAACACAAACTGGATGATGAAGGAAATGTTACAAAACCAATGAACTAATAATTGGGCCGATGACGTACTGTTCTGAGATTAGCTTATAATACGGTTGAATTCACATCCTTAATCATACCAAGGTACATCGTGCATATTTCTCCTCGCTACGTATGTTTTAGCGTATTACAAGTGCTTTCACTGCTTCTATCAATGTCGTGCAGTTAAAGCGAACCATATCTCAGAGTTCATAACACTATTTCAGAAGCTACTGTTAATTTAAAGAACGATCAATGTCATTAAAACGACTACATGATCATTTTAACGGCTATCGCTGTAGCGTAGTTAAAATTTTGAACTATTTTCAGTTCCGTGTCGTTTTTTTTCAATCCGATAACCCAAGAGCAAAATTATGATGCGTCAACATACCTTTTAGAGTCATGATTCATGGAATCATTATGATGATCGAGTTGTTTGCAGCTAATGTTGAGGTAATTATTATCTAGCAAATTACTGATAAAGCATTTTGCCATAAGGATTTATTTTGAAAATTAGAAGAATCTAAAGATGAGAATATGTCGCAAACTCTCTTCTACAAAATGCTTCCAATCCCAAAATTAGGAAATATCTTCTTTGTAAAATGTTTAGCCTCACTTCTGAACCTGGTTTTTGGAAGCATTCGTATCCAACGATTCTTTCCATCTAGAGATTGCACAAAATGAAAAATGGAGAAAAAAATGTGTTTTAGTAGTTGCTCAATTGTTTGTGCAAGTACCAATTAAACCGTTTCCAATATTGACCCTTTTTTAAAAAAAGTTCTGAAAATTAAGCCATCCAATCGACATCGTTTTCTCCGTATCCAAAAAATTGCCACAGTTACACCAATAATTGGCAAACTATATTTTTTTGCCTCCCGTTTCGCAGTTGAAATCGTCCAATTTAAATTTATAATTGAAATGTTGGGGCAATAATGGAGATTATAATTTAAGATTCGAATTTATTTCTTTTAATTTATTAAGCAAAACGAGGAAATGATACTTATCAGCATGCGGGATACATTCAAGTACCTTCAGTAATGGGCTAAATCTACCCGTCGGAAGATAAGTGGTCCACAAAAGTTTTGCGACGAACGAATTTCTTTCGGAGAATGCAAACAGGAAAAAAAAGAATTTTTCAAAAAAGAAAAATGGAAGGAAGATCTTAGTTTAATGTTCTGAAACTGGATGCTTCGACATATTGTGCCATTAAAAGGTTTGAACGCACTCCCAAGTCAGAAATGTAACTTGAATTTTGAACAATAGAATGCGATATTTCAATCCACCAACTTCATAGTATATCTTAATACTCAAAATTACTATTTTGAATTTTCTACCGCAGCTAAGCATAAGGTAGCATGTGACCCACCAAAACCAAAAGAGTTCACCAGAGCCATTCGTCCCTTATCCCATCTTTCTGATTGTTTAAGAAAACGTATATTCTCCTTAATATCGCTTTCTTCCAGCCCGGCGTTTCCCACCAGTTTGCCTTCTCTAACACACATTGCTGTGACGGCTGTTTCGATAGCGCCAGCTGCAGCCAAAGTATGGCCTATATGACCTGCAACATGGAAATTAAATCGATAGATTTGAGATCTCGATATTTTAAAACATTCGAAAGTTAACAATATTTATGCAGTCGAATTCAGAACTCAGTAAATTTGTGTATGTAAATATAAGCATAAATATGAATATAAACAAATAAAATAAAAAATAGATAAATAATCAATTGATTAAACAAATAAACTAAAATAAAATAAATAGACATTATATATATATATATATATATATATTATATATATATATATATATATATATATATATATATATATATATATATATATATATATATATATATATA